TGATGTGGGATGGTGCAGTCGTCAACCACATGCGACTATAATCAGCTGTTCTAGAAAAAAAAAAAAAAAAAAAAAAAAAAAGCGGTGGGTTTTTCGAGAAGTTGTTGATTATGCAATTGCCAGAGAGTTCTTCGTCTTCTTGTAAGTGTTATTGAAGCGTTTGGCCTAGTAGATTGTATATCAGTATACCCTTCCAGGCTCTGAAGAAGGCGATACTGCCGAAACGTCAGCTAGCGTTGTATTGTATTGTGTTTTTATGGAAGTAAATGTATGCTGTTTAAAAACCTCGCGATTGCTGAACAAGAAAACGACACATTCATATTCCAATGCCGAGGTTAAGAGAAAGTCGATCTTGGGAACTATTACAAGAAGATTAAAGTTGCGCACGGTTTTTCTAAAAAGGGTGTCAAGATAAAACTCACGTATTATTTACACTAAGCTTTCTCACTTATTTGAGCTCTATTAAGCGTTACATTTGCAAGACATTGCCAAATAATTGTTGCAAAGGTTAGAAAATAAATGGTCCATTTACTAACGAATTCGATAGCTTGAGCGTCTTGAAAGTGGCTAGGGATCGAAACAAGGAACGATTGACTGCGGTAGTTTGCTGCATCGCACTACTCTACCAGCGGTATTAATGCTTCTCCAAATTGTCTATTCTTATTCGTACCTGCCCAACAATAAACAATATGGTGTTGATGATGCACGGAATGAGTAGACGAGTTTCAATGCTTAACTGTCGTTGAATGGAGAGAATCGAATTCCGCTTGCCGTTAGAAAATTGTGACCGCGCTTCTGGAAGTGATATCTTCTTTTTGTTTTCCTTTCAAAAATCAACAGTTCGAGAAACGGGAAGGAAAATTTTATATTGACTTTCCCTGAGCTCTAACAATAAATCAATAAATCTCATAAATTCGCCAACTAATCAGCATTTTTAGGTAATAACGCATTCGTTCCCCACCGCAGACACCCCCAGTCCGGTGTCTTGCAAATATCTCATCATCATCTTGGTTCTAATTCGCATGATACCCTTTCGTGAAAAATTGTAGCATGCAGTAAATAAAAAGGTTAAGATTGTGAATCATTTCGATTCCATTTCGAAATGATCTGGACGAAACATAAAACCAGTTGCTGCACTTCTCAAGGCAAAGTCAATTACTGTACTTACCGATTAGGTAGTAGGAAAACATATTTCTTTGATACTTGAATGGCCCGCCCCCACTGGTTGTGCGAGCTCCAGCATAATCTCCATTTTTAGAGATTTGCTAGTTAAGCTAGCATAGTTCCCTAGAAACCCGAGGTCAGCCTGGCCAAAGTCTGCCCCAGGTCTTCACCACCACGGGCAGTCGCATCCCTTGTGGATCAGAGGGATATTTACCACAATGCGATTTTGATACCAAGATGGTGGTGGATCCTAGTATTGGTCTACTCTTAGCTAGGCTTCCTGATGGAAACGCCGGACTCCTTCTCAGCTTGGGGACTCTGCCAAGGGATGAATCCCACGTTGTACATCGCAGTCTGACACCCAAGAACACCTCTCAGCCACGATGAGACGGTAAACCGTTGGAAGGCGGGCAGAAAACATACTGGCTTTTACTATGACAAATGGCGAACTCACTAGTGATTCGATCAGCGCGCCTCCTGAGTAGAATGTTAAGGGCGGCAGCGTAGAACGGAAACGGTAGCACCATTAGCACTGCATTACACACCATATAGTAGGTATTTGTTCCTGATTGCTCGTACCGTAACCAATCAGTGTCCATACCGTATCGTTGAGGATTGAAGTAAAGTGGAACGAACCAATCGAACTAAAATTGTCAAATCAACCAATGTATTTGCGAAGAGAAAAAGATTAGATGGCATTTTAAGCAGCTACAGAGTACTAGGCTAAATAAGCGTTCTCCAGTTGCCTCCACGTAGAAAAATCTACCCACTATGCAAAGAACTTCCTTTCTAACACTCTTTTAACAGAATGTTCGAAAACTAATCCTCGATTTTAATTGGCGTTTTTAAAGTGACATTTGCTATTAGAGAAGAAAATTAACGACGAAAATAAGCAAAAAAGTTTGTATATATCGCTCTCTTTAAAGTTTCTGGAGACGGCGAAGTCGTTGAGTTAAGAAGTGTTTTCGCCTCGGCCCCGAAGTATTTCTTGCGCAGGATGTCATCGAGTAGCTTGAAGAAATAGTGGTAAGTAGGAGAGAGGTCAATCGAGTATGCTTGTTGAGGTAAAGTTCCATATTCCAGCTCGCTTAACTTTTTCAGTATCCGTACTACGATATGTGCCTGCATGTTATCGTAGAGAGGGAATATTCCCTTTCTTACGGAGCAAAATGGTTGAAGTCTCTGCTGCATTTCGTACAATCGCTAGACGTACTTCTTACCCCCAACCGTTTGTAGAAATGGCATATGTGCTGGAGTCCGCACAGCTCGTGAAGACGGACCGTCCCAGTATCCAGTATCCAGTAATCGTTTGTTATCGAAGTCAGAAAGCCGTGATGGATCAAGCCAGCATGACCTTCTAGTGCAATTTCGGCCTTGTGAAGTTACTGTGGAAATTCATTGGAGTCTCACCACTGACCCGATGATCGCCAGTTATTATATTGGATCTGGAGGAACCACCGACCTTACCTCAAAACGAAGATTTTCTTGATTTCCATTCAATTAGTGCGGCATCCATTTGTCGAGTCTCTTCAACTTTCGAACTATCTCGAGATGACAATGTTATACCTTTTTATTTTCTGCCTTCTGTAATTTCGCGGCAGGGTCCTAAGTGAAAGACAACCACTACGTTGCTGAGATATTTGCAAAACTCTGGACCGCAAGTGTCAATGGTGGGTTTTGCAAATATCTCAGCAACGTTGTGGTTCTATCTCGAGATGTTTTAACTTATTATTTACTGCCTACTCTTTTTAACGGCAAAGTATATATTGCGAAATATAACTTTAATGATGCTGAGATATTTGCAAAACTCCAGGTCCCAGGTGTATGCGGTGGGGAACGAACGCGCCATTGTCCTTTCCAAGGAGTAACGCGTTCACCACCACACCATGCGGATTCTTCATTTCGCCTGTCTCTCAACTAGTTCCACCGATCTTTTGCTATCAGCAATCACGCATCAGCGGGATTGATCTGGTGAGCCCAAATTGGCGACGAACCCAGTCCGGAGTTTTGCAAATATCTCAGCATCATTAAAGTTATCTTGAGATGCTTCGAAGGAAATGAAGTCCTCACACGTACTTCTCCTGTAAAGTTCTTGAGCAGCTATGCATGTATTTGCTCTCAACGAAACATACAGATCATCATCCTCACCAGTAGCAAGCATACCCGACTTCCCTCAACTTCATGGTTTAACTGGCCGCGACGGAATTTTCTAAACCAACTTTGCAGTGTGCACTGGTTAACACCTTCTTGGCTCCATACCTGCTTAATTCCTTGAGTCGCTACATCCGAACTTGAATGCGTAGGAGTAGATTTTCCGAAACATTCATTTTCATATTCGATTTAGATTTCTAACATTTAAAATTTGTCAACGACATCATTTACTTTACAATTGGTCTATAAATAGCAAAATTACATAAATGGTCTTTGCAATGATGTGTGGCAGCACATCATTCGAAAGAGAGAAAAACTGTTAGAATATATACGAGAAGAATGGAATTAAACACTCGACATTAATTTCTGAACAATTATAGCAAAAAAGGAAGTTGTCGAAAAATGAAAGAAAAATATTCTGAAACCAGCGCAGTTCCTTAGGGCTTAGGGTATGCCAGCCATTTATCCAAATAGGTATTTCAAGTAACCTCTGTTGTAAAAGGGCTACCATAAAATGTTTAAAACTATTAAAACCCTAGAGAAAGTGATTGAAGGGACTTTACAGAAATTCTCGTCTTTGCATCTTCTTTGGCAAAAGAAGGATACCAATAAATATAGCTTGATTTCGTGCGGCAATTTTCATCTGATTCAATGTTTTTTTGAGAGAAATACCTAACAAGTAACGCTGAAATAGACCAGTAGAACGAATAAAGTAATTAAAGTCATTAAATCAAATCGTTTGATGTTGATAAACTCCTGAGAGATGCGCAATGGATTCGACTTCAACTTCAAGGATTGAACCCAACCGAAGAACTGAGGCTGAACTTGTGACCTATCTACTGTTTACTTCAGGGCACCTCTAACCACTGCAATACGCGCTCTACGGTAAAGTAATACATAAACATATGCTGCTGCGAACAAACTACTACGTAAATAAATCATGATTCAATCGGTCGGTCGTGGGAATTAAATCATGATTCTAGATGATTAAAGCAATAAACAATGGCATTTTCTTGCCTGATTTTCTAACGTAAGCCGAATACACTAACCTGGTGCTCTATAATGGATTGCGTGAGTCCAACTAGCCATGGAACAAAGCAGATCATTAGGCAGTTAGTGGGTGGAAGAAGACGAAACCAGTTTGGCCACTGTATAGCCGCCCATCGTGACCATGCCACCATCGTGTAATGATAGACCATTGCCCACCTGTAAAGTACCGTCCAGTACTTCTTTTCCTTCGGACGTGTTCTGTTATTCTTTAGGTAAGTGATGAAAAGCACGATATTACACTGTGGTAGCCTTATGTGAAAATATTTGCATGAAAGAAATGTCTGTGTGAAAAAATTTTGAAGTTAGTAAATGAATGAACACAGAAAATATAAGTAAAGTGAATAGGATAAATAAGTAGTACAGTAACAATCTCGTTTATGATTATAACGAGAACAGCGAATTAAAGTCTTTGGTGTAAATGTATGAAAAATATGCTTACAATAGTTGATTGCCGTCCGCATCACAACACTTTCCCTTTTCGATTATATAAATTGCATTTAAGTAACCTAATGTACCTTTTTTAAAAAATTTATCTGAACGATCTGTCGTCTCTGTCGATGGTCAAATAATATGAGAATCATCAACAAGACCAATCTAAAGCAGCTATTTGTAAAATCTGTTGAATTCCTAACCTTTTTGAGCAGTTTTGTTTCCAATGTTAAACCTTTCTACAGCCATCTTGTAAATAAATATTAGATTTCAGCTCTATAAAATTCACCAATATATCTGAAAATCTAATAAGTGTTTAGTTCCTTAAAAAACTCAGTAGGCTATCTCATGTAAAAAGGGAAACGCTAAGAAAAAATCGGATGGGATGGCCCGCGTTATTTATAACGCGTTCTGGCAAAAAAATAGAAATAAAGCCAAAGAAATGAGGAAATCTTAGAAACAAAACAAAAAATATCTCCATTTCGTATTCAATAGAATAGTCAACAATCCCATCTATTGTTCAGTCATCTTCATAATAGTTCTGCCTAATCACCATCTTCTCCCAACAATTTACCGCCTTATCGTGGCTGGGAGGTGTTCTTGAGTGTCAGACTGCGATGCACACACAGCAGGGGATTCATCCCACCAGCAAGGTCTCATTACCTGAGAAGGACTTCGGTGTTTCCATCAGAAAACCCAGCTAAGAAAGAGTAAGCCAGGATCCACCATCGTCCTGGTATCAAACTAGTCACATGGTGGCAATTCTCGCTTTGATCCACAAGAGGGGCGACTTCCTGTGGTGGTGACGATCTGAGGCGGACTTTGGCCGGGCTGCTCTCAAGACTCCAGGTAACCACAATGGCTAAACCAGCAAATTTTCGGAGAATGAAAATTATGCTGGGGCCCACACAACTAATGAAGACGGGCTATCCACGTATCCAAGTAATCACCATCTTCATCGGTGGTTTCAAAGAAAGAAAAAATCTGCAGATTTTCATTCATAAGTGGAGACCTTTTCATTTTGAGAAAAAGGTTTGATCATACCATGTAAAATCGAGATAGATGTGCACATGCCATCTAGCCATCTCTGGTAGAATTTCATCCTGGCAAAGAATTGTGACACCAGGCCAAATGGCGAACTGAAAATGCATTAATTACAAGGAAAATGTTGACAATGAAACTCGAAGCCTTGTGAAAAATCTAAAAATGACTTGAATTATTGGGAGCCTTAGAGTAGAATTTAGTACAACAGCGTAGGATTTAATAATAGTATTAGGCAAAATATCCAGTTCCCGTTCATCAAGTAATAAACACATTTTTGCTTATAGAAAAACTGAAGGATAATTCTCACTGTCTCTGTTTGTTATCACTCATTTTCCTCCTGTTCTGTCCATTTTTGATGAAAAAATAAATAAAATAAAAAATAAATCAAAAAAATGTTATTTTTTCATAGCAGGCGTTATGTGAAGTACAACCATAGTGATGCTGAGATATTTCGAGAACCGAGATCATAGGTCTGATTCGAACACCTGATTACCGTTTTCGGCGCTCACATTTTACCCACCGCATCACTGATGTTTTTGCTTTGCCTATCCCTCAGCCACTTTTTTATCCAAAGGATGTCACCTGCAATCACCTGTAAACTAGTTAAGCTGGAACCTTAGCCGAAATCACGCTGTTTATCTTTACATTACTGCTATTATTTTTTTACGGCTGGCTACTATGTGACACACAAACCACAATGATGCTGTGATATGAGTGAAAGTCGGAATCTCAGATGATACTACCTTACTATCAAAATTGGTTGAGAGAAAGGTAAAGCAAAGAGCTCGATGGTGCAGTGGGTAATCACGTGAGGACCAGGAACGTAAATAATAAGTTAAAACATCTCGAGATACAACCACAACGTTGCTGAGATATTTGCAAAACTCCGAAGGTGTATCCGGTGGGGAACGAACGCGCTATTGTCCTTTCCGGGCAGAAGCCTGTTCACCATCACACCATACGGGTACTACGTTTCGCCTGTCTCTCAGCTAGTTCTATCGATCTTTGCCGAAGCAAACACCCGTCAGCGGGATTGATCTGGGGGCCCAAATCGCATTGCAAATAGCTCAGCATCATTGAAGTTATATTTCGCAATATACCCTGCCATTAAAAAAGAGTAGGCAGTAAATAAGAAGTTGAAATTGTAATAAAGCTACTTTTCAGTACCATAAAAAATATTCATTGGTTTGCACGACGGAGGCTGTGAATCGTCCATCTAGGCAACAGTAGAACACCAGTTGTTCCCATTACAGAATGTCGCTGTAGAAGTAGAAGTAGAAAGTACGAAGGACTACCGTAATTCCGAAGAAGACAATAGTTCCGCAGCGTTAGCCGAACAGATCTTTTATAACCTGGTGTTCGCTCAATAGCCTAGAGAAAATAAGGAAGGGCAATAATACGATGGCTTATATAGTGTTTAGACTGGTTTGAAGATAGAGGCAAAGAGACAGAGAGAGACTGTGTGGTGGGAAGGAAAGAAGGAGGGAGAGTGATGGATGACTGCTAGGAAAATATCGACAGGAGGTATTTCGTCAAAAATCTAACACTGATCAACTGGAGACACTGTCGAACGACTCAACAGGTAATAACTACTTTGTTGATTGTATCGTATCGTAAGTGAGAGCGTCATTAAACATTACCTATATATAGTAAAACTATTCATATTTACGACAATTTCTAAGCAACTAGCACGTCTACGTAATGCGGTGTGAAAGCCAGTGAGAGGGATGAAATTCCCAGATAGACCTTCGTTTAACCTCGGCATTGGTCAACAATGCACTGTTTTCTTTACGAGTAAACACAGGTTGTTGTGCATTTGTTTATTCAAAATAGCTGATGTTTCAGTGGTTTCGCTTTCTTTAAAGCTTGAGAAGGTCAAATTGACCACAATCTACCCATTCAAACACTTTCGTAACCTCACCAAAAAAAATTTAAAACATAAATCTTTCTCTATCTTTATAAATCTTTATTCACATAATAAACAGTTTCTCTTAAACCCTCATCATTTTGTTCTTTGTAAGCCTAAAAGTAGCCCAGCCCGATAGAGTTTTACATGAGTGTGCCTGGCTCATGGAACAAAATCAGCCTGATGTATAGCATGAGGTTGTGCGTGACCACACGATACACCTCTTCGAGATTCATTTTTGGATTCCCAGAATTAATCCAAAACGCCTCCAGAGTTTTGCGCGCTGAAGATTATGAAGTGGAAGTCACCATCCGCGCCCCCTTACTGGGCGAGGATGGTGACTTCCACTTCATAATCTTCCTCGTTCTGTGTCTGTGTTGTATAAGCGCCTACTGGAGTGCCTTGTATGGCTTTAAATTTACCAACTAGGTGTTCCTTTATATGGATGCGGAGTGATCTGCCCGTTTCGCCAATGTATTCGTCCCCATACGCATCACGAGAGATAATGCGCATCATACCCGAACCCATGCAATCACCGTCACTACCGCGAAGCCTAATTTTGCAATTGCGCGATATGCATAGACGGTTATATAAGCAGTTACGAAGAAGCTTAATTCTTATATTATTCAATAGTATTCTAATCACTGATATCGATTTCTCTAGCTAGAATCATCGTTTGGGGGCTAACATTTTCCTCGGCACCTACCCCGTGGAGCTACAATTTCGTAGCTATTGGAAGTGGCAATTTGTCGCGCGAATTTCAGGGGATTCTTCGTTCCGCTCTTTTCCTATGCATACACTGGTGTTTGTTCGAAGCATATTTCTCATAAGCGACCTTTTGTGTGTGAAGTGTTAGATGAGAGCTAATGAAGCAGTATGATTTTGTTACTTGGCTATGAGTTCGCATCATTTTTAAAGAAATTCATGAGCTATGCATTGCTTATTAGATCGACTACTCTTCTGCTCTAATCAGGCCTCTCACTCCTTTGAAGACGAAAAATTGACTCCTAATAGTCTTGGAGAATAGAAATCCTGACTGGATACATTGATAAGTCACTGCGAATCACTGTATAGGCCAAATACGCATTCAATCGCCAAAACCCTTATCCGTAAGTATTTTCTGCTGCTTTCTATTTTGTGTTTCGCCTTGCTTGACAGAATGTGGGAACACCTCTGAACAAGAAATGAACTACGCCTACGATTTCTTAGAAGAACACCAGTCGAAACCTTAGGTACTATATTCCCTAGCAACATCCTGTTATATCAAGCTTGATGCGAAACATCTCCCAACTACACAGGTGACGAGAGGAAGCAAGGAAAAACTCAAATAATTTTAGTCAAAAACACAGACCAGAAAACGTAACTGAAACGAGTTGTTTGTGCTATTAGCACAGGTTGGTCGACGTTTCTTCTATAAGCTCTCAAAGTCCCAAATACTTCAGTTAGGGATACAAAAGTATCCAAAACTAAAACTGTCGAGTTTTCTAGGAGCACTGGTACCTACTTTTAAAAGAAATGGCCAACAAATCTCATAAAGGACTCGATGTGGAACTCTGGAATTAAATCTTGTTTACTGTGATCAAATCAACTTTCAAGGCGCCTAAAACGTTGAGATCCTCACAGTTTTTTTCCTGTTTCATTTTAGGTCGAGTTTTAGTCTTTTCGTTATTTGTCTTTTACTCGACGCTTTACTTTCGAAAAAAAGAAAAAGAAAAAGTTTTAGATGGTTATTGCTTGACTATGGCAATATTTCACTTGATATTTTTCTCTAGAAGATGAAAAAAACCGAAAAAAACTGACTACTTATCTCTCATTTGTTTAAATATGACCCTAATAACCTCATATGTGACCTTTTGTATACTGTTTCTTCTCTTCTTTTACCCGTTGCTTAATCTATAATCTTTGGTTTTTTTTTACTATTTCTCTTTCTATACATTCTTTCTACTAGCGTCTGTAAGCAGTGAATTCATATTTTCGTTCCTAAGCTCCTTGTAAGATAAATAATGCACCACAATTTTCTAGAACTTCCTTTTCCAAGCGAAAAAACTGGGAAAGCTACTGGTTACTTTTTCTTGTAAACCTTGGATAATACTATCAGCGATTATCACGTTGTTTAACAATTCCAAGGTTGAATAAAGGTTGCAATGAAATAAAACATAAGAAAAAGATATTGGCATGATGTTGGTGGCACTGATCGATAGAATTAGCTGAATGACAGGCCAGAGGAAAGACTCGCATGGTGTGGTGGCGAACGAGTTAGGCCTCGGAAAGGGTAATACCGCGTTCGTTCCCCACCGCAGGCACCTGCAGCCTGGAGTTTCGCAAACATCTCAGTATCATTGTGGTTTAACACACATAAGAGCCTGCCGTGAAGAACTGTAATATGCAGTAAATAATAAGTTAGCACAAGAAAAGAATTTTGCTAGCTCTCCTCCTTTCTTTATCACTCGTTTTCATTAAATATTTGCTAACTAGTACACATAGATAAAATTTATTTGGCATTTTTGAGCTCAAACTACATCATTTAGTTCTTCAGCAAACAAGCAAGGACAACAACGTTTATTCACCAGCATTGCAAGCCTTCAATAAACATTCCCGTTCGTAAAGCAATGAATGCCAACATCCGATTTTTCATTTTTTCCTAACGTTTTGACATAGGAAAAAGTATCGAAAACAGAGAGTTCATTCCTGCTTCAAAATGTTGAACATGACTGGGATACTTAAAAAGAAAAACGGAGAAAACCGACAGATGAATGTTTGAGATGTCACCTGTAAAAGAAGAAGAACGTCCGTAATCGCTTGACTGATTAAAAATCGAAAGCCAACAATTTCTCCAATCATTTGGGCCATTGTGCAGGTGATCAAGACGTACAGAAACACGCCAACAAAGCCGAAGACGATCAACGACATTCCGGCGACGATGTCTGACGGTAGCATTCTGATTGTGGCAGAAACTGAAACGAGCTTCTATAAATACTTCTAATTCATGCAGGTGTAATTCATAAGGAAATAAGAGCATTGAAGTCAAACGAAAACGACAATGAAATCAGAAATGACATCTGCAAAGATTCGAAGTAACTGATGACGAGGCAACAGACAGCGAAGGCAGCAAGCCACATTTACGGCTACGATAAGCACTTTAGATGATTCGTCATTTGATTGAAATTCTAAGTATTTCCACTGAAGAAAAAACAACAAATATTGATCAATTTGATAGATATTTTAGCAACCTATAAAAAACCGTTGGTGAAAAACGATCGGTTTTCGTGATATATTCATGTCTATATGTGATAGAGGGCTTCGCAGGCTAATTGTTAGCGGTACCCAGACACATAAGTGGCCGTTGATTTGGTTCTGCTCCGCACTCTGAGCTATCCAGATTAGTCCACTTCAAAAAATTGCTACCAAAATGTGAAAGCAGTGAAAGAAATTACACCGAATTCACACAGAAGTGCTCTAACACAAGGTGCTTTATAGTTCGAATACGCGTTCATCACATTCACGGTTTCTGACGAAGTTTTATGAATGACGGGTGCCTGAAAAACGACTAATGAATGCGTGACTTTATTCTGTCAATATTCTAATGAAAGAGCTTAACAAATCAATAAATGGACGAGTTTCGACGTCCTTGTCAGGCGTTCACGTCGACGAAAGCTTCATCAGTGATTAGTGCTAAAGCTTCCCATTTTTATCTGCATGCTAGCACTTTTTCGGATTCGTCATCAGTATGGCATTGAAATTACGTAGTGAATAAATTGAATTCACTGAATTCACCCACTATCAATAAAGGCGGAAACCGGAGCAACGACTTCCGCGATTTGTCCCTGTTTTTTTTTATTGGCCTTGTAATTTGATTGCACAAAATATGTGAAACTCTTGGCGCAAACCCGTACGGCTTTCTTTTTTAGGACGTCTGATTAGGACAAGTACTGGGAAATTACAAGATAACAGTTTCATCACAATTTCGTCACAAGTCACAAAATCTTCTAGAGCTTTGTCAATAAATCCTCCAACAAAGATTTTTACAATAACTAGAGCAATATCTATTTAAGCTAATAAGATTATTTGGCTAAAAACCTGCGAAGCTGAAAAAGTTATTTATAGAGCGCTCTCCTACCCCGAGGCCAAATTCCTGCAGTTACACCACTCTTCGATGGATAATTCACCAGAAACCGTAAAATATTTGAAGAAAAACACAAAATATCCTAAATCCGATTTAACTACTTAAACATTATTGGTCCTTTTCTTATCTATGAAAACTGATGTTTAGAATTAACAAGGCTTTCCTTCTTTCTTCTGAATGAAGGCAAAACTGCAACATAATTTCGAAAATCGTCGTTCCTGAGAGAGTTTCCTTCCATACTATGTTAATTCTAGTCATCACTTTAGCGAGCACTTCCATTCTATGAAAACAGGATGCTGATAGGAAGTGACATAATAGGGTAATGCCTTCAGGCTAAATTGCTAAGCTTAAAACGAAATATATAACTCGGAACATTGTGAAACCATACACAAACACGACGTTACTACTTCTTGATGACTTTCTCAATGAACAGAAAATTTAAAAACTTCCTATTTTATGAAGAAATCCGCAAAACGACTTTCACAGGAAATCCTCTGAAAGGATAGTGTTCATTTGACTTGAGTTGGTGAGTCTTAAATGAAATATCTAAATGGAAATACTGCAAAATCGTGCACGAACATGACGTTAGCATTTGAAGATGTTCATTCGATGAATTGTAGGTTTTCGGAGGCTCAAAAAGAAGAGGAATATAATTAACTGAATTGCCGACCGGAGGTGAATCGTAATTCAATACATGACAAGACCGCAGAAGAGGCGGCAATCGCCTATTAAATGACCAGCGACCAAAGTCTCGAGGATTTCCGCCAGCTAATGCGGAACATCTTTCCAAATGAAAGAACTGGAAACGACAACATGCAGAACACCATAGAACACTCATTCATGAATAGAGCAAGCTTCGCCTGAACATCTACAACTTCTGTTTTCCTTACAATATTCATTAGATTTTTTACACATATTAAATCAACGTTGTCACGTATTCCGTGGCTTGGCACCGTATCTTATTAAAGGTACGGAGGTTGTTGGTGAAAGTCAAAGTGCATTACACTACAAGGGAAGTGAATGAGGAGGTGAGATGGATGAGGGGATAATGAGATTCCTTCCACGACATGACCTTCAAACCAACAACCTAATCGACATTTCCTCTCGGAAACGCAGCTAAGAGCAGTCGAGTTCCATGAATAGCTGATATTTCGATAGAAATCTAGAAGAAATCTAGTTGAGAAATGGCAAACTGCGATTTAAATCAAGATCTCAAGAGGTGAAGTAATTGGAATTATGTCTATTTCAAGCTATAACCTTTTTATTTACTGCCTATTCTTTTTAACGCAGAGTATGTTGCGAAATATTACTTCTATAATGCTGAGATATTTGCAAAACTTCGGACCGCAGGTGTCTGCGGTGAGGAACGAACGCGCTATTGTTCTTTCCGGGGAGCAACGCGTTCACCACCACACCATGCTGGTCTTTCGTCTCGCCTGTCTCTCATCTAGTTCTATCGACTTTTTTGCCATCAGCAATCACCCGTCAACGATCGATAGAACTAGCTGAGAGACAGGCGAAACGAAGGACCCACATGGTGTGGTGGTGAATGCGTTGCTTCCCGGAAAGGACAATAACGCGTTCGTTCCCCACCCCGGACATCTCCGGTCCGGAGATTTGCAAATATCTAAGCACTATAGAAGTAATATTTCGCAACATACTCTGCCGTTAAAAAGAATAGACAGTAAATAAAAAGGTTAAAATTGTGATTATAATTATAGCCACAGCTTAACTGAGTTCAATGCCGATTTGAGCTCCCCAGATCAACCCCTTTCACGAGTGATTGCTGATGGCAAAAGATCGATATAACTAGCTGAGAGACAGGCTAAACAAACGACGCCCATGGTGTGGTGGTGAACGCGTTACTCCCCGGAGAGAACAATAGCGCGTTCGTTCCCCACCGCAGACACCTGCCGTCAGCACTTTTGCAGATATCTCAGCATCATTATTGCTATAATAACTAGTCTCGTTTTAGTTAAAAGTAGCGCGTCAAAGACCATACTGATTGCTAGGTTTAGTATTTTCAATAAACTCAAGAAAATATGCATTTTATATAATTTGTTTAATACCCATTTGCTACGGGAATATTCATATCACTGGGCTTTCATTTTATATAGCTTTCGTTGCCACTTTTGTTCAGTTGTTTCTCATCCGTCAGAAAAAGTTATGCGTAGCGAGGCGGAAGTAGTTCTGAGCGTTCAATTATGATGTAAAGCGGGATGTTGATCAGCGTAAAATGTGAACTAAGTTAATTAGAAGCTTGGCTTTTCCGTCCGGAAACTCAACTAGGAGTAATCTAGTACTAAAAATAGAGATTACTCTAGAAGGGATTTAGTCCCTAAGTGCGTATTAGAAGCTCCCACAAATAGGCAATGGCCTAGATAACCGGTTGACTGCTATGACGGCACTAAACTGCCTTAGCAGCACCGTAATGCCAGAATTATAAGCAAAAAACATTGCCAAAAACGGTTGAATAGAAAGTGCACTGTAGTTCATTCGACTCTGTTTCGAGATGGACAATTCACACGTTCAAGTGTAATCTTAAATGTTGAAGCATAAAATCTCTATCATAATTTATAGTACTGAAGCAATGATGGTATGGAATGTAAGGTTCAATTTTACCTTTCTTTTTAAAAGAATGCCTTAAAAGAAAACAAGTTACAGGTGAATAATAAATGAGTAAGACTAAAACAAACCAAATCATGAGACATGCCGACGATAATTTTAATTTAAAAAAATAATATGAAAAAATTAGTACGACTTCTTCTTTCGAAGGAAATTTTAAGGGTTTTCATTCTCCAACTCGTGGTGGCCTACCGGTGTATGGAGCCAGTGCTGCTATCCTCGCAGACAAGGTTGGTACCAATTTGCCGACCCCGGAGGGATGGAGAGCTTGCGGGGCCATGGACGCGCGGATCTTCCCCACGTGTGTGTCGCAGTGGCGCCTCCAACCACTGCGGCACACGGGCTATTTATTCTTTAACAGAAGTCGGTAACACGAAACGAAATGATAAGCATGCCTTCAACTTTCCGAGAATGTACGAAAAATGTTTTCATAGCGTAGTTTACTACCAGATTTTTGTTTGGTATTTTTACACTCAATTGCAACTTTTAATAGCCGAACAAGTTCTTCAGAAAATTGAAACGACAGTTTCCTATTGCAAAGAGCATTCATGACATTTGTATCGGATATTTGGGCGCATATAACGAGTGAGAAATGCAACTTATAAAAATAAAGCTTTCGAAAGAATCAGATAAAAAGGAAGGCAAAAACATTAGAACACATCAACATTAATGTTGTTGTTGATGTAAGTGTTTTCCGATAAAAAACATTAATGATCCAGAATCCAGACAATATAACTTCAATGATGCTGAGATATTTGCAAAATTCCAAACCGCAGGTGTCTGCGGTGGGGATCGAACGCGCTATTGTCTTTTCCAAGGAGTAACACGTTCACCATCACACCATGCGGGTCCTTCGTTCCTCCCGTCTCTCAGCTAGTTCTATCGATTTCGGCCATCAACAATCACCCGTCAACGGGATTGATCTGGAGAGTCCAAATCGGCAATGAACCCAGTTAAGCTGAGGCGTACTTGCTGAGAGAAAGGCGAAACGAAGGACTGGCATGGTGTGATGGTGAACGCGTTACTCCCCGGAAAGAAGAATAGCGGAATTCTCGGTACGACGTCGTTCACGGTTTATACAGCTCATCAGCAAACAGAATAATGTCTAATCTCTTAAAAACAAACCAAAGAAATTTCACGGAATCTATTCCATAGACCATGATTTCACTATGGAAATGGGCGATAGCAA